CTACGGGTACCGGTAAGGCAAAAATCTCCAACGGCCATGCATGTGGGCTCATGAACACCTAGAATAGAATGGACATGAACGACACATTTAGAAGAACAACCGTTATGAAAGGTAGGTAACCGTTTTTGGTTTTTTTGTTGGTTATGCTGGTTCTGAGTTACAGATCTAATACATTAGTTTGGATTAAATTTTTATATTTATAGGCTTAGTGGGTGTCTGAAAAATGATTCTGGAAGTGCTGTGCAATCCCTTAAAATGGACTTCAGTCCATGTAAAGAACAGTGATTATATATGGATGGGACAAACTGGTTAGAAAAAGTAAAAGTGTCTCTGAACATCATGCTGTTTTACCTCTGCTGCAACAATGCCTCGTGTCTTGGGAGAATGCAACATGATTGGCAGACTCTGCTCAGAAGAGTCAAAGGGCTAGAATAACTGGGATATTGAAGGCCAAGTGAAGAGTGCATTAGCGAAGCTGTGCAGGGCCTCAAGACTGGAACACAAAAGTCTACTGCAGAGCTGTTTGGAGAAATCTTGCACAGAGCATGCCCTCACTATCCTTGGCTCAGGACATGGCTACTAATCCCTTCACTTTTGTAAACAGTTAACTTTCAAATGGAAACGGATGCTATCAAGACTGACAGGCCACAACTTTGACCCCTTCCCCAAAGATCAATCTTACCTTTTAAAATATGGTTCTACTATAGCTTGTGGCCTCACAGATGACTGTGATGGTCATCATTAGAGGTTTGTACAGAGCACTATGCAAACCCAAACCCACTCAGGAATCTTTAGTATTACAAATGCCTATCATGTGGATGGAGTTGATTTAGTTAGTGGGTCAGACATTCTCTGCTTGTGTAAATGAGTGCAAGTCCATTGAAATAAACAGTGTTTAATCCATTTACACTAACAGAGAATTTGGTCCTTTAATTTTAAGACAGTTATAGCCCTCTTCTATACCAGGGCTTATTTTAAAAGGTAAGGCCTTTATTTGGGGCTGGGGGAAAGGAAGATGTGGCCGGTCATCCCTGTTTCAGTCCTCTTTATTGAGGTGTTTAGCTCTTTTTGTCCGTACTATTTAAGTTCATGTTCCCTAGCTTTATTTAGTTCATAAGGTGGGCGGGAGGGCAGGGTGGAGAGGTTTGTGTGGAGTAGGAATTCCAAAGTTAGGCTAGCTTTTTCAGTAAGAGGCTTAATGTTCAGCAATGAATCTTTATTCTTGATAGGCACAAGCAGGTGCGCAGATCACTAGGAGTCCACTAGCTGAAGTGTGGAGGTGTCAGCAGCACACCACAGTTAACATTTTTATGACAAGGGCATGCACGTTTTCTGTGGGAAGGGAGAGTGGTATCTTACAGATGGCTAGAGATTTTTTTTAATAGCCTTTATCAGCCAGGCTCATATCTTGGTGTCTGACTGCTTGGAAATTACTTTCCTTTCAGTGAAGAAAGGAGTTAAAGGGATCACTCAAGCCATGGTGTTCAATCTGGTATTTAAAAGGAGTTCTGCTAGATTATTTGACTCTGATTGAATTGGCTGTTGGGTCTCCTTTCCATTCTAAAAAAAGAACAGGAGTACTTGTGGCACCTTAGAGACTAATAAATTTATTTGAGCATAAGCTTTCGTGGGCTAAAACCCACTTCATCGGATGCATGCAGTGGAAAATACAATAGGAAGATATATACACACACACACACACACACACACATGAAACAATGGGTGTTACTATACACACTGGAACGAGAGTCATCAGTTAAGGTGAGCTATTACCAGCAGGAGAGGAGAGAGAAAAAACTTTTTGTAGTGGTAATCAAAATGGCCGATTTCCAGCAGTTGACAAGAAGGTGTGAGGAACTGTAGGGGGGAAAAATAAACATGGGGAAATAGTTTTACTTTGTGTAATGACCCATCCACTCCCAGTCTTTATTCAAGCCTAATTTAATGGTGTCAAGTTTGCAAATTAATTCCAATTCAGCAGTCTCTCGTTGGAGTCTGTTTTTGAAGGTTTTTTTGTTGTAATATTGCAACTTGTAGGTCTGTAATCGAGTGATCAGGGAGGTTGAAGTGTTCAACTGGTTTTTGAATGTTATAATTCTTGACGTCTGATTTGTGTCCATTTATTCTTTTACGTAGAGACTGTCCGGTTTGGCCAATGTACATGGCAGAGGGGCATTGCTGGCACATGATGGCATATATCACATTGGTAGATGTGCAGGTGAATGAGCCTCTGATAGTGTGGCTGATGTGATTAGGTTCTATGATGGTGTCCCCTGAATAGATATGTGGACAGAGTTGGCAACGGGCTTTGTTGCAAGGATAGGTTCCTAGTTAGTGTTTTTGTTGAGTGGTTGCTGGTGAGTATTTGCTTCAGGTTGGAGGCTGTCTGTAAGCAAGGACTGGCCTGTCTCCCAAGATCTGTGAGTGAGAATCGTCCTTCAGGATAGGTTGTAGATCCTTGATGATGCGCTGGAGAGGTTTCAGTTGGGGGCTGAAGGTGATGGGCTAGTGGCGTTCTGTTACTTTCTTTGTTGGGCCTATCATGTAGTAGGTGACTTCTGGGTATTCTTCTGGCTCTGTCAATCTGTTTCTTCACTTCAGCAGGTGGGTATTGTAGTTGTAAGAATGCTTGATAGAGATCTTGTAGGTGTTTGTCTCTGTCTGAGGGGTTGGAGCAAATAACCTGCTGGTAATAGCTCACTTTAACTGATCACTCTTGTTACAGTGTGTATGGTAACACCCATTGTTTCATGGTCTCTGTGTGTGTGTGTATATATATATATATATATATATATATATATTCCTACTGTATTTTCCACTGCATGCATTCAATGAAGTGGGTTTTAGCCCACGAAAGCTTATGCTCAAATAAATTTGTTAGTCTCTAAGGTGCCACAAGTACTCCTGTTCTTTTTACGGATACAGACTAACACGGCTGCTACTCTGAAACCTTTCTATTTTAAGTTATTCTCCCTACTTTCTATTTTATGTCTTATTGTATGTGATGACATATTTTGGGGATTGAGAGGGGAGAGGGTCTTTCAGTAATTGGATTATTTGGAAAGTAAATCTGATAACTGAAATAATTTATTCTTTAAATTTGTGTGTGTGTGTGTGCGCGTGAGTGCATGTAACAGGTCAGTGAGATGCATAGGAAAGCTGAGAATGAGAACAATTCTCTGGTGCTGTTCAATGAATGACAAATTGTAATATGAAATACACTAGATCCTGTGTTTCTTGTATGTCCCTACTTAAGAGGGAGTGGCTGATGCATAAAAATTGCAGGATAAAACTTTTTTCCTAGAGATTGACTTTAACTTTTTCCCCCTATTCTATGAAAACAGAAAAGTACAAGAGAGAATGGATCTATATTATTAATGAAACCTTTAACTCACATGCAGAGAGCTTTAATACAGCTTTGGCTATTATTTTTTCATTCAGAGTACACACAGCTAGCCTTGATGGCATTACAAGAATATCTCTGCTAAGGAGCTAAAAAATGTCCTACTCTGGTGTAAGGTTGTCAACCACAATCTTCATGCTGGAGTTCTAGGTGATTTATTTTTTAAAGATATGCTGTGCCCAGATAATTGATTGCCTAGAACACAGGGAGTAAGGGACAGATTTTTAAAGTCATTTAGTTTCCTAAAAATGAAGAAGGGTGCCTATAGAGATTTTCAAAAGCACCTGGTGACCTGACATTGAAATCAATGGATTCAGGCACCTACGTGCTTTTGAAAATCCCACAGCGTACACTGGTCTGCATCTTTAGGCACTTAATTTCCTTTAAACAGCTGTCTCTAAGACCTTGAACTTGATTCAGTATTCTATGGGAAGCCAGAGTAGAGAGCAGAGGACAGGCTTGATGTGCAGTTGGTAGCCTGTGTTGCTGAGGAATTGTGCTGCAGCATTCTGTAGTAGTTGGAGTTTCCTAAGGGCTGATGGCCTCATGCCTAGCGATATTACATTGCTGTAGTCCAGATGGAAAGTACAAAGGTGTGTGTAACTGAGGCCAGGATATTTTCTGCCATGATGAGATAGCTTCTCCTATACAACTGAAGATGGTAGAAATCTTTATTTGTAGATGCTGCTATAGGAGAGCTAAGTGTCTGTGAGGAGTCCAAGAGCGTTCCTAAACTATGGATGGAATTGACCAGTTGTGGGTGTGTACCTTCAACCAAAGGGAACTGCTCCACCATCCCAGTTCAAACCAATAAAATGGATTTTGGGAAAGTTCAATGGTAAGGGAAAGAGTGACAAAAAATTAATATGTTCTGCACCAGGCATAGCGGTGATCGATCCTGATTAGGGTCTGTAGGGACTCCCAACTGCAATACAACTGATAATAAATAACCATTAAAATTTAAGGCAACTTCGGATGTGAAAATAAATGCACTTTCGAGCAACATGTAGAAACAAATCCAATTCTGATGGTTATTACACAATAGGTGAACTCCCTGCACACTCTCTATGCAAGGGAGATGGTAGAACATGCCTTTCAGTGGTGAGAAATACTTTTGAATCTAACTGTGTATTTATAATGGACTAGATCTTCAGCTGGTGTAAACCAGTGTAGTTCCATTAAGTTTGCTTGGGCAAAATCCAGGCTGATGTTAAAAATATTTTAATTGCTTTAGACAACTTTTTATAAATAACCTGACAGTTATCTGAACCTGTTGAGTAACATCCATCTTGGGTTAAATGGGAATTTCCAATATATACAGAAAGTGCTGGGAGATCTACTCTCTGTTAATTGAAGGTGAAGTTTAGCCCTGTTTAGAGGGGCCAACACAAGTTATATGGAACACTTAAGTCCAAAATAGTGCTTAAGTGAAAAAGACGAATTTCACCCTGTGTGTCTAGCTTCCATTAGTATCATTATTTGCAGGGATCGAGGAGAGTGAGGAATAAACCCCTTCCATAACAACTCTGGACTGGACTTGTTCTCTGAAACCCTTTCACACAAAGAATAAAGTCTGTTTTTCTTTTCTCCCTCACAGATCACCCCTGGCAGCAAAGCAGCCCAGTCCCACATGAACCAGGGGGACCTTGTGGTAGCCATTGATGGAGTCAACACAGATGGCATGACCCACTTAGAGGCCCAGAACAAGATCAAATCAGCCAGCTACAACCTGAGCCTTACTCTTCAAAAGTATGTTGAGATAAGTTAATACTTGCATGAGCTGCAGAATTGTTACGAGAAAGTGGCAGACAGAGGGAGTGATAAACATCAGAGTTTTGCCTGTTAGGTTTTCTTCAAGAATCTGTGAAGATTTGGACATAAGATTGAGATGAAAGGTCAAATTCTGCTCTGATTTACACCATGTGCAACTTTACTGAAATCAGTGGGGTTGCACAGTGTGCTAGTCTGGGTGGAATTTATCCTATTGAATATAAAATGGGTATGCTAATACTTCCTTAGCCCGCTGGGAAATTTTTAAAAGTGTCCTGTTCCAAAGCAATTCTGCTTATAATTGATTTTGTTCTTGCTTATTCCCTGGCTGATGTCAAACTATTTTGTTTTTTGACATCATGAATGTCTGCTGTGGAAATGATTCCCTCAAATGGAGGATTATGATTTCAGATGAAGAACAAGGTGAAAAAGCCCACCAGATATTTGCATCAGATCCCTTCAGTGGTGGCTACTAGTGGCCTGATCCTTCTTTCTGTGAGGGTGGAGCCTAGCTTCATCTGAGAAAGGTGTGGTCTGAGCACAGGGCTGGGAGCCAGTACAATTGCAGGGAGGAGAATCTCCCTCACAGAGATGGGGAAGAAGCTTCCTTCCCCTGGAGAGCGCAGAATCACTCTCCTGATTCCTCCTGGCATTGCTTCCTTGCACTGCATAAGAGAGAGTTCATTTTTGAGAGCCTTGTTCTAAAATGCAGTAACCTTCTTTGACATTGTGATTAGATTTAATTAGAAAACTCTTTCTTAATACCTGTGTTAATATTTAAAGCTGTGTAATGATAGGAGGCAAAGTAACTGCTACTTACATTGTGTAAATCGTAAATGTGTACAATGTGTTATGTGCTGAGAACATAACAGAGGCTCTGTTGTGTCATTGCATAGCTGAGCCAGTTAGCACCAGGAGCAGACTAACTGCTAAGGGACACAGATCCTGGGTTGAGGTTTTGAAAGCAGTGCAGGGGATTCTAATAGATGATGTGTGGCTAAATTCCCTGAAAATTCCATTTTTTAAGCAGATATTCCTGTTAATGCATAAAATAAGTAAATGAAAAGAAAAGGCACTAAGAGAGTTCCTAATGTATAGAATATGTTTTCGGTTTTCATGTGATGTCAGTTGCTTTTCACAAGTTACGTTGTATTAAATGTGGACTGGAAAAGAGAGAGTTAAGTTTAATAATGAAAATAGCCTAAGGAAGTCTGAAAAAAGTTGCAGTCCATCTGTCTTAATTAATTTCTCTTCACCCCAAATCTTAATACATCAGGTAGAGGGGCATAGAGAGTTATTTCCATCACTCCATGTAATGTGGAGGGGCATCTCTAACGTAAGCAGGAAGGGGACTCAGCCAAAATTAATAAAGGGCCAGACCAAAGGTCTGATACAAAGCCCACTGAAATTAATGGATTTCCATTGACGGCAGTGGGCTTTGGGTCAGGCCCCAAGCCAATAAATTGACAAGACTAATTTTATTTCATCCATAGCCCCTTGGGCTCCCAAACTAATGCTACACCCTCATAGAATAGATCCAGGAGGGTTTATGTATCTGCTGGGCCGGCTCCAGGGTTTTTGCCGCCCCAAGCGGCGCAAAGAAAAAAAAAAAAAAGCGGCGATCGCGATCTGCGGCGGCAATTCGGCGGGAGGTCCTTCGCTCCGAGCGGGAGTGAGGGACCGTCCCCCAAATTGCCGCCGAATAGTTGGACCTGCCGCCCCTCTCCGGAGTGGCCGCCCCAAGCACCTGCTTGGCAAGCTGGTGCCTGGAGCCGCCCCTGTGTATCTGTACAAGTGAATTACCACCTGGTCTTCTCCTATGCTATACATGTGCAAGTGTACAACAACTTCTAGTCCTGCCCACTAAGGGTTTCATTGTGCTGCTGTAGTGGATGTGAATGGATTTCACATAGATTTGTTTTGTGCTTTTTAAAATAGTCTGGATTATTCTTTGCCTTTTGAGGGAAGGGAGAAATCCTTCCAATAAAAAAAGTCTCTCTTCTACTGGATTCTCGTGTTTCTTGCTGAGGGTTTAAATCTCTTGAATAGTAGTCATCTTTTTAGGCCTCAAGTTCATTCAGGACAAGCAATGTTTCCTTTTCTTTTTCTTGGCATTATTGTACACATGTATTTTTTTCCCCAACCATCTGCAGTACTTTTTACCTTACTTTTTAATAGCAGTGAAAAATACAATAGATGTTAACCTTTTAAAAAAATTTATTTCACTAGTGTGGAAATGTAACAATATTTTGGTTTCTGCGAAAGGAGTAGATGGTTTCAGACTGCTTCAAAGAGTATCCATATCACAAACCCACCAACACAGCTGGCACCTTTGTTGGCAGTCTTAGCAGAAAAAGGATTGAATAGACATGGAAATAATGCTAATGTCTTACAAAAACGATTTAACCAATTTGTTATAAAGGACATAAATGCATCTTGTTTTCATAAGTAATAAAATAATAATTTTACAAAAAACTCAGAAAATGGTTGTGAAACATGAACATTGGCAGTATGTGTCCCAATTTAGTGTTCTCCATGTATCTTGGATGTGTTGAATGAAAACTATCAATTTGTTGAACACACAGTGTTCAAAGAGTCTTGTATTCATTTATGTGAGTTTGCTCTGCTGTTATTCATGTAGCCATCTTGTTCCTTGTTTGACAGTTCAAGCAACTGTGACTATGTTAAAATATTTGTAAAATCCTGAAAACTTCACATATTTTAGTATAAAATAGATTTGTTTGAAAACTCTTAATAGAACTGTGATGTTCTCAAATCACTATTACTTTATTACTATTTGTTCTGCTGTTTAAAAAAGTATGCATCCACTCACAGCTAAAAAAACCCAATATCATGTGACTCAGATGACCAGTCTCTCACTGTGAATAGTCAGAGCAAACAGTTTCAGAGTACCATATAGGCTGAAATGTGTTTGCATAGATTAATGTATTCATGTTAATCAGATCAGTTTGTGAACAGGAAAGAGCTAACGTTGCATTGAGCATTTATTAATCATAAAAAGTCTAGCAGCTTCTATATTCACAACATTTTACCTTTTACAGATGCTCGTGCTCTGAATGATTTTTTTCACTACATTTCCTTTTGTTCTGTTGCCTCTTGATGTTGGCCAACAGTGAGAGATGATGGCTCCTTCTGCCTTGTTAGACCCTTAGAAATGATGAACAATGTGTGAAATCAATGCAGACTTTTTATAGTAGAGTCTGGTACCGAAGCAGATTTACAGACACTTATGGATTTGGTATCAACTGGATGTCTAACATAGTGAATGCCAGTGAAAATGAGGTATGGTCTGAGGCTAAAACAGGGAAAGAATAAGTTAACTGTTACTTAGACAAATTAGATTGTCTTCAAGATGCCAGGGCCTGATGAAATACATCCTAGAATACTCAAGGAGTCTACTGAGGAGGTATCTGAGCCATTAGCAATTATCTTTGAAAAATCATGGAAGATGGGAGAGATTCCAGAGGACTGGAAAAGGGCAAATATAATGCCAATCTATAAAAAGGGGAATATAAGGGCAACCCGGGGAATTACAGACAAGTCAGCTTAACATCCAGAATGATAATGGAGCAAATAATTAAGCAATCAATTTGCAAACACCTAGAAGATAATAAAGTGATAAGTAACAATCAGCATGGATTTGTCAAGAAAAAATCGTGTCAAACCAATCCAATAGCTTTCTTTGACAGCGTAACAAACCTTGTGGATGGAGGAAAATGGTAGATGTGGTATATCTTGACTTTAGTAAGGCTTTTGATATTGTCTCACATGACCTTCTCATAAACAAACTAGGGAAATACAGCCTAGATGGAGCTACTAATATAAGGTGGGCGCATAACTGGTTGGAAAACCATTCCTAGAGAGTAGTTATCAATGGTTCACAGTCAAGGTGGAAGGGCATATCGAGTGGGGTCCCCCAGGGATCAGTTTTGGGTCCAGTTCTGTTCAATATCTTCATCAGTGATTTAGATAATGGTGTAGAGACTATACTTCTAAAGTTTGTGGATGATACCAAGCTGGAAGGGGGTTGCAAGTGCTTTGGAGGATAGGATTAAAATTCAAAATGAACTGGACAAACTGGAGAAATGGTCTGAAGTAAATAGAATGACATTCAATAGAACAAGGGCAAAGTACTCCACTTAGGAAGGAACAATCAACTTCACACATACAAAATGGGAACTGGCTGCCCAGGAAGTAATACTGTGGAAAGGCATCTAGGGGTCATAGTGGATCACAAGCTAAATATGAGTCAACAGTGTAATGCTTACAAAAAAAAGTGAACTTTATTCTGGGCTGTATTAGCAGGAGTGTTGTAAGCAGGACACAAGAGGTAATTCTTCCACTCTACTCCACACTGATTAGGCCTCAACTGGAGTATTGTATCCTTGTTCTGGGGGCTACATTTCAGGAAAGAAGCGCACAAATTGGACAAAGTCCAGAGAAGAGCAACAAAAATAATTAAACATGACCTATGAGGGAAGATTGAAAAAATTGGGTTTATTTAGTCTGGAGAAGAGAAGACTGAGGGAGGACATAACAGTTTTCAAGTACACCTCTACCTCGATATAACACTGTCCTCGGGAGCCAAAAAATCTTACCACGTTATAGGTGAAACCGCGTTATATCGAACTTGCTTTGATCCACCGGAGTGTGCAGCCCCGCACCCCCCCGGAGCACTGCTTTACCGCGTTATATCCGAATTCGTGTTATATTGGGTCGCGTTATATCGAGGTAGCGGTGCACATAAAAGGTTGTTGCAAGGAGGAGCTCTTGGACAGTGTAATGTTTGGTTTCTACCATCCTTCATTCCACTGATCCTGCAAACAGTATTATCCAAATTCACAAAAAGTATTGTTTGGACTCAGAGTTGCTTTCACAAGCTGTACTCCCACCAACCTAATCAAGCTGTGGCTTTTAATAGCTGGGCTAGAGAGAGAGTAGGGTATAGAAAGAGGGTGGTCAAAATGGCTTTCAG